TTCCAATGGTCTTCAATTGACCTTGTTCTTCGGCTTTGATTCCGTTTGATGTTTCGTATGCATATTGAAATGAGTCTATTCCAACAGTGGCATCATTTCGGAGAGTTTCGGCGCTAGCATCACCTCCTGGAAGAATAGCGGCTGAGCCAACGGCGATAAGGGCGAACATAACAATGGCCTAAATTGAAAACAAAAACCACATAACGATCAATAAAACAATACAAACAAATAGATTGCGTCGTTTCGCGTTGGAGTCGAAAATCGTGCCACACAATGACTAGCTTCGTTCTGAGCTCAAACAACAACAAATTGACACTTTCGATTTTTTAATCAAAATATTCCGACTGGAATTTTTTGAATTCACTTAAAAAAAATTGATACTCACGAATTTCATGTTGAATGATTTGATTTTGATCACTAGAGCACAAAATGTTTTCTATGCCAATCCAATTTTGCACATCTTATTTATACCGAAAAATGTGCAACCTCTGGCATTAACTCTTTGTATTTTTGCACAGGTTATGCAAAACAACACAATGGAATTTTAAAAAATGGACAAAAAATGACTATAATGCTTAAAAAATGTGATGCGTCCGAAATCATTTAATGCGGCTATTAAAATGCAAATAGACACTTTTTTGCACTCTGCAACCAGACTCTCGTTCCAACAAAAGGACAAATACATTTAGTTTTTTCGTATTGGATAATCTATAGTTTCCTAAATGTTAATGGATACATGTCAAACAATTATATTTCAATCTATTTGGTATTCTATAAAAAAACTTCTGATAATAATCAATAGGTGTTTCTCTATTTTTTGAACATTGGAATCACCTTCTTCTTGGTATGACAGTTAAATTCTATCACGTTTAAAAAATAGAAATAACCTTTATGAAACAAATAATAAAATTAAATGCAAATTATTTTTTTTTTCTTCCAGATGAATTTTAATTAAGCACTTCCATTTTATACTTTCAGTGAATAAATGTAGAAGACATTTACAAAAAAACAACAACAAGGGATTAATTTAAAACAAGTACTAAAGTGATGCAACTTTCATTACAATACAATTGAATTTAAAAAAATTGATGAAGCGAAGATGAAAACAGCGTGTGCTTGATTCAAGATTTTGATACTTAAAATATCCATTCTTGGATCATCACACGTCAAAAATAGGTCATTCCGCTTATCTCGATTTAAATATGGTAACTAATATAAGATTATATTGCCACGGCCAGTCGATAGAAAATATCTTTTAATGCGGTAGTTTCGGTGTATACACTATACATATTTATATTCATTTTAAAAAAATGTGTCATAATTTAATACCCATCCACTACATGTCCTCTGTTCAAAAGTCCATAATTTCATATTTTTTTTGCGGTTGGCAAATTTGTAACTAAGTGTGCGTGCACATTCAAAATACAAGCATTGTGTGCGTGCACTGACAAAGTGAAAATCACAGCCCTGATTATTTTTAAGAGACCACAGTCTACAAATAACTAATCATATATAATAATATAGAATACTTCTCAATTATAGTCAATCACTATGCCAACGCATGGTCTTTTGGCGTTCAAATCTCTATTTACGTTTCTCGTGAACTTTACCAATTATCCCATCTCTGAACTTGGAACACACAATCGTTGGATTTTTACCATAGATATTTAGTAGTTTCATCTACATGTAGTAGATGAAGGTAATCTTCGAATCCTACATTAAATGAGAAAAAAAAAACAAGAAAAACCGCTGAACTATAAATATGAGTTCATAGTATTTGTATTTAAAAAAAATTCAAGATGATACATCCACGTCTTCTGCTCTGTGAGTGGAGCTGCCACGTACAATTTTATTTACCATCGAATATATTCTTGAGAAGACCACACATTTGTGGGAATATACATATATTTCGTTTTTTTTTTATTTATATATTATTCTGTCTTCAAACAAGAAACGAAAATGAAGAATTAATCATATAAACAACTTTTATTTCATAAAAAGGCCTTCAAGGTGCATCATGAGCGTGGTGCAAATGGATTTGGTTTCCCAGGAAACTAGGGTCCAATGGGTCCGAAGGTAGGTTAATAAATAGAGAGGACAGTAAACAATTAAATAAATTAATTCAATAATTAAACAGGGATCATAAGGATTCGACTTTGCTAACAATTATTGATTCAAATGAAAATACAAATATTTTTTTCTATTTTCAATTTTATTTTAAATATACTATTCTCTTGAATTCTCTTAAATAGGTGCTCAAGGGCCTATTGGAGAGAAAGGATCCACTGGAGAAACGGTATCCCAAGGAACAATTTGTAATGCAAATTCACCGATTACCAGGCACAAATTCATGGTCAAATTTGGACCCGGATTTGTGTGTAGTTTCAGTTATTTTTACGGTTGCCATAGCATAACATTCAGGTGTGAATACATGGAAAAGAGGAACGACAATCATTAGTATCAATTGAATTGTATATGAAATATAATTTTTTTAAATTAAAAACTTTACTCACCCTCCGTACTACCGTTGTACTGTTCTTATGAACGCACAACAAGGCCACAATCGTTATAATATTTGTTTTATCTAATAATTTATGGATTCAATGCTGCTGCTTGTCCGTTGACATTATTTGGTGGTCTTCTAAACGAATCAGGCACTAGTACGCCAAACATCGACAAAGTCCTGTGTAATTTAAAGCAAAAACATTAAAAAATGAATAGACTCTATTTTCAATTGATTCATACCTTTGAGCATAATGCATTTTGCAGCAACAATATCGCGGTGCCAAACAACTGTCTATGGATCAGCATCATCATCCTGAACATTAAATGGCCAATTTTTGTAGGTAACATTACCCTTTGATATTAAACGCCCATTCCGAAGTATTCTCGCCACATCCTGATAATTTCCATTGCGAACTCGACGCTTAATTTCCTTCCATCCCTTTTGCAAAGCACGTTTGCTAATCGTTGCCACACTTATATCTGGTAGACTAGCGACTGGGTCCGGTAGTCCAGCAATCGGTTTCGCTTTGCAACCGTAACACACTTTGAATCGATGCGGTTTTGTGTTCGCTGGAAATCGTTCTTGCCAATTCGCGCATATTTGTGATGTTCCCCATTCATCTTCCATTTTCACCACTGAATGGCCAAGTTTCTTGACGCTCACCAAAAATTTTCGCGATCCTGGGCATCTTTTCCGTCTCTTCAAACCAGTGCTACCGCATCGCACCGAGCACACTTAGTGAGTTGCATAAAACTCATTGTATTGCGAGTGTGACATGTCTCTGAGTCGCCATTGAGCGAGTAAATAATACTCAGTAGAGAAATGAGTGAGCAGCGACTCACTCGTAAAATGCTCACTTGAAATGATTGCATTATGAACTATTTTCTAATTATTTTGTCAATTATAATCACCAAATATAATCATTGACGGCATGTTGTTGGTCACTGTCACGGCGATGTTATCATTTACTTGGTTCGACTTCATGTAATGATCAAAATCCAGTCGTGAATATTTACGCGTTACATATGCTGACATTCCTTTTCGTAGCATTTTGATGCGATACTCAATGTACCATTTCCATGTTGAATTACGCGGTGATGGTGGACCGAATGGGAATGTCTTCAGATGATTCTTTTCTTCAAAATCAAACCATCCAGCTAATTTTTTCGTCTCTTTTTCTCTTCTTATATGCCGAGTTTCCCAGTAGAATCGCGTGTTTGGTATTGTGATGTTTTCCTTCAAAATTCAAAATCACAAAAACAATAAGTTTGGATTCAAACAAATTTCAAGTTAAATTTCGACTTTCAATATCTCACCTCAACGGCTGATTCATCAGGTGTTTTCCGGATGTTGCGACGCGTTATAGCCAACCACGTTTTTTCATTCGGATCGATGCCAATAACGTATTTCTTGCCTACAAGATTGTCCGCCGAAGAAGAACTGTCGACGATCCCATCGCAAAAGGAACTGACGATTATCGTGTGCTTTTGTGATTATGAGGCAACTTCCGTCATTTGAAGACTGCGCTCAAACAAAATTTGCGTCACAACTGCTGCATGCTCGGGTCGAAGTATTGTTTGCCACATTTTATTGCAACGAAATTTTTTTCTTCTTCTCTTTCGTCATCGTATACCGGCGAATCGTTGTTATTTCTTTTTCTTTTCATTCTCGAAGAGTAGGGGGTAGACACGCAACCCAAAAGAACAAATCTATACGAAAAAAAATAAATCTCCTTTAATTATTGCGAGTAAATTATAAATATTTTAAATCAATTTGAATTTTTTCGAATCATTTCAAATCACCGCTTGACAGTTAGTGTGACACTTTACAGTGAAGTTGACCATCGATGTTTGCATGCATGTTATATCAAAACAAATATCAAGTTAATATTTTCGGAATGTGTATAATAAACTATAAACGAAATATACTTGATTTTTTTAATTAGAAAAGGTTTTTGCTTGCTTAAAAAAAAAAAACAAATATTGATATAGAATTTTATGCTTTGTTTTAGTATTGTAAATTCACTTGTCAAATAGATTCAAATCATTCAAATCACAAATGAATTACAACGAATCATTTGAATCATGTCTACCCCTTGCGAAGAGCTGATACAAATAAACGAAAATAAAAAATAGACTCAAATTTAGAAAAAAATTCACCAAATATAGCATAGATCACAAACACAATAAGATAAAAACACTTCTATCACAAATCAAATGAAACAGTAATGAAGAACGCATTATAAATATCACGTCTTATCTCAAAAAAGTTACTCTGTATTCTAATTCGAATGATGAAATTTATTTCCAATGTAACATCAAATATTTTGCCCATCGAAATGTTGTTGGAATATTCACAGTAAATTTTATCAACATTCTGTTATTTCGAAATTAAAACAAAAATGAACACAAAACCAACTGTTAATATATCCATTCCATGCCGAACAATAAAATCGTTGAAATTGAAATGACAATAAAATCAATTGATCGCCCGAACCACGCTACAAACACTCACATATAATTCTCAAGAAATCCTGTTGAAAACAAAACAAAGTTTTATTGTAAACAAAATCGGTTGGTGCGATAGCTGTTTATACTCGTACAAACAATAATGTCACACGATGCGAGCACATTTTTAATACATATAAATGAATATCGTTGGATTTGGTTTGACACATATACACCGCGCCAATTGAAAAATGTCAGAAAGATGTCAGTTGTATTTCGAAAATTCAAAATAATAATTCCACAAATAAAGAAATATAAATGCAATAAATTAAATTATGCAAATCTTTTTCCGAACAAATTGTTTTGTTTTTTTATTTGAGCGTAAATGAACAAATGAATTGTTAGATTTTCAATTTAAAACTTAATGTGTCGGGTTGTGTTCACATTATGTTGTCAAACGAAATATTATTGGAAGTGGAAGAAATCATTGGAATTCGTGGAAACTAGCATATAATCTCCGTTCCATTTGACACGAAAATGACCATCAGAATGGGCCAAAACATTACATTTTCTAACGTCAGAATGTACTAAAAACATTACAAATTTGTTTGCTGCCTAGGTTCAGGCGTTTTATTATCATATAACACATTTTTAAATAAATTATTTTTTAGGAAATAAACTGAATGATGTAGTAGCTTTGCATTCTATAGGGTTCAAAAAAGCTGAGATTTTATGTGTTCTATTTTATAGTTATTCAGCGAAGAAATTCTAGTCCCAAAGCATAAAAATTGTAAACCAATAATTTATTTAAATATATTTGTTGAAATCCAAGATTACCTATCATACCTGTCACATTTTATGTCAATTATAAATCAGTTTATTGCCAATCGACAAATAAATGATTTCAAGACTCTTAACAAGTCCGTATGAATTATTTAAAACAAGTGGAGCAACTTATTATGATTGGAAAGTGCTTTTATCAGCAATTTTTTTTCCAAATCGCAAACTCATTTTTCAAATTAACAAATTATAATTAATTTAAATGAAATATTGCTTTCAATTTCTAAGATTTTACTGAAAAAAATTGTTAGAAAAGATTCGATTGATTTGCTCTTGATTCCATTTTTGATATTTGGTGGAGTTGATGGTTGAAAATTAAGCTAATCGCTTATATTATTTACAATACAGTGTTGTTTTTGTACGTGAACATGTCATGTTGGGACAAAGATTCACGTGAATATTTAAATAACATAATGTTATTGCATATTTACAACACCGAAAAAAACTGTTTTGTTCAAAACATTTTCGAGATTAATTTTCATATTCATAACAACAACATCACATGTTTTTGGATTCTTTACGTTAACGTTTGTCTGATCGAGTCTAACATTGTGAAGTTTCTTCTTTAAAAGGAAAAATATATAAGAATGAAAGAATGTAAACGAATGCAACTTGCAAGAAAAAAAAACCGTTATTTATAAATTTAATAGTGTTTTTTATTGTTTTTTGGATGGATTTTTCGCAATGAAATCAATCATGATATTACCACAGATTGATTCCATGCGATTTGGGTTTTCTATTGTAGTTTTTTGTTTTTGTAGAAGTGTTGCTTCTCAAATTGCAGAATTTATTTGGAAGAAGCTGGAGCAACTGGCAAGTGATCGGCGACGGGTTGGTAACCATTTTCATCAGCAACGAATTTCAAGGTGAATGTTTGACCATCTGGAGAAATCCATGAGTATAAACCTTGTGTGACGATAGCTTGTTCTGTTCCAATGGTCTTCAATTGACCTTGTTCTTCGGCTTTGATTCCGTTTGATGTTTCGTATGCATATTG